ATGAACCTAGTATGCATGTGGTTGGTTGTAAATAGGTGTTCAAAACCAAGCTTAATTCTAATGGGACTCTTCAAAAATACAAAGCTAGATTAGTTGCCAAGGGTTTTCAGCAGACCCTTTGCTTGGATTACTTTGATAACTTCTCTCCGATTGCTAAAGCAACTACAATACATATAATTTTGTCTTTGGCTATTCATAGGAGTTGGCAAGTTCAACAACTTGACGTTAACAATGCCTTCTTGAATAGAAAGCTTACCAGAAAGTTTACATGATGCCACCTGATGGTTTCTCAGATTATGCTAGTCCACAACAGGTTTGCAAGTTGAATAAGGCCTTGTATAGTCTTAAGTAGACTTCACGAGCCTGGTTGGATAAGTTGAAAGTGGCACTTGTGGCATAGGATTTCATGAATTCCAATTCTGATGCCAGTCTCTTTTATTACAAAAAAAGTGATGATGTGATCTATCTATTAGTCTATGTAGATGATATTTTGGTGACCGATAATAATTCTCAGCTTATTGTTCAAGTGGTTAGAGACCTCAATGATCAATTTGCTCTCAAAATTATGGGAGAAATGAGCTACTTCTTAGGGTTTGAAGTCTGTAGGGACAATGCTAGTTTGTTACTCACACAAACAAAGTATGCTTAAGAGCTTTTAGATAAAGCTAATATGGGAGAATGTAAACCATGTCTCACTCGTATGACTATTGGGACAAAATTGGTGAAAGAAGATGAAAATTTATTTGAAAATCCAACACTCTATCCGAGTATCATTGGAGGCTTATAGTACCTTACATTGTCCAGGCCCGATATTGCGTTTACAATTAACAAACTCAGCCAATTTCTTCAGAGTCCCACGGCAGTGCATTGGACAGCTTGTAAAAGAGTGTTACGATATATTAAAGGCACCCTTCAATATGGCCTTGTGTTTAAGAAACATAATCATTTTAATCTTGAAGCTTATGCTGACGCTGATTGGGCTAGCAATGTTAATGATCATCGATCAACTAGTGGTTATGCAGTATTCCTTGGGACAACTTGGTTCAGTGGAGCTCAAAGAAGCAAAAGGTGGTTTCCCTATCATCTACAGAAGTTGAGTATAGATCCTTAAGTCAGGCTACAACTGACGTGGTTTGGGTCCAACACCTCTTTAAGGAACTCGGAATTGAATTGAAAAAGACTTCCATCATTTGGTGTGATCAAAGAGTGCTGGGGCCTTATCTTCCAATCCCGTCTTTCATACTCGAACCAAACATATAGAGATAGATGTACATTACGTTAGAGAGCTAGTTGTAGAGAAAAACTTGGCTGTTCAACATGTCTCCACCGAATTTCAAAAAGCTGATATCATGACCAAAGCTTTATCAGGCAGCAGATTCAATACATTGCAGGAGAAACTAAATGTGTCCTCTGTCTTACCTGAGTGAAGTGGATGTGTTGAATGCTGGAAACAGTTCAATAAAGTTAAGAGCTAACATTTTTTAGTTTAGGAAGTAAGAGAGTAGACATCATCTTAGTTAAGGGAGTTACTACTTTAGTCAAGGGAGTAAACATAAGTTCATTTTACAAGAGGATATTGTCGAACAGAAATGAAGTTTGAACAATCACGAAAATTTATAGAAAGTAAAAGAGTCCACTCTACGAGAGTATATTGAAGTAAATAAATGAAAGCAGCAATTGTTACCCTAGTCAAGGGAGTTTGATTTAAGGGAGAATATTAAGGTAAAGAGGCAAAGAACTTGGGTCATTTTTGTAACAATTAAAATAACTGGGATTGTTTAGAAATTAGTAGTTTTAGTAGTTTTATACGCTGTGTTTCAGAGCTATATTTCCAGTATAAAAGAGCTTATTCTTTGTATGAGCTGAATTAATGAAACACATAACTACTCCCTTAAAATTTTTCAGCTCATGTAACTAACTTCTACTCCTCTCTTGCGTGTGTGATTTTTCTTTTTAGATTCCAGTAGAATCTCTTCAACACCTAGTTAAGTTTGTTTTCATGCATGTCATGTGGGCATATCAATGTCCATGTGATGACGCTCGTCCAGCCAGATTCTATGAGCACATGTTGCATCTCCATTTGATATGCTAGGATTTTATCCTTATCTAAGACATGTGTAAGTGGTCTATGTACATGTGTAATTAGCTCATTAGCTGCACCAAAAAATTTGTTTTACTTTATAGTGGTCCCTAGAAAGTTTGGTAAAATCTTTCCCAAAATGGCTAAACACAAAACAATATGTTAGCTGGTTGTCCCCTTGCATTGGTGAGCAAGTTTCTTTATATTCATCTTCTCCAATGCATTTTATTTTAAGCCTAAATATACCTCTAATAGTTCTCTGCATATTCCTTAAGGTTTCCTTTGTTTTCCTTTGGGTTTCATATGCTTAGGTAGGCTTACAAATATTTTTGTTATGCTTTGTTTGTTTATGGCTGGAACATTGTTCCAGTGGTGACACTTGATCGAGTTTCAAGCTTTTGGAGCTGAAGTGCATCTTTAGTGATGAACCTTGAGAGAAGCTTAATGCTGACCAGGTGGTCTCATGTGTGAAGTTAGCTATGATGGCTTGACGTTCAACGAAAGAGTGAAGATTGAAGTGTTGTCATAAACAGGGAGTGTTTTGAAACTGATGCTTATCTTTAGCTTTGTATTTGAACATTAAAAGTTTATCATAGTGGATTAGCTTCGTTTGAACTTAGTCCTATAGATATAGGCAAAATGCCAAACCATGTAAGAATGTGTTGTTGTGCTTTACTTTTTGCCATGGATGATTTGTTTATGTTGATGATGATTGTGATAAAATATTCTACTATAGTTTATTTAATAAAATAATAAAATAATATTATACCCTGTATATATTTTCACTACCTTACATTTACACATATACCCCTAACTCTATACATAACTTCTATCACTCCCCCTCAAGCTGGAGCATATATATCTATCATGCCTAACTTGATACAAATGTAGGTTACCCCTTATTCCAACTAGAGATTTAGTAAAGAAATCAACTAGTTGTTCCCCTGTTCTAACATGCTTAGTGGAAATTAATTTATGTTTAAGTTTCTCCCACACAAAATGACAATCGACTTCTATATGCTTTGTCCACTCTTGAAAAAACCAGATGGTTGGCTATATATATGGCTGCTTGGTTATCACACCACAAGTCCATAATCCCTGGATCACCAATTCCAACTCCTCCAAGGAGATATCTTGTCCATATAAGCTCACAAGTTAATTGTGCATAGCTCGATACTCAGATTCTGCACTTGATCTAGCTACGATAGGTTGTCTCTTACTTTTCCAAGAAATAATATTCCCTCCAAGAAAAACACAAAATCCGATCACAAAACGCCTGTCTATAGATGATCTCGTTTAATCTGCATCTAAAAATTCTTCTACTTTATTGTGGCCATGATTACTATAAAGGATCCCGAGTCTGAGAGCCCCCATGAGATATTTCAAAAATATGAAGAACTGCATCCCAATGAGGTGTCCTAAGAGATGACATAAACGGACTTACCACACTCACTGAGAAAGTTATATCTGGACGAGTTACTATAAGATAATTCAACTTCCCAACTATTCATCTGTATTGCTTTGGATCATCAAACACCTCTCCATCCTCAGCATTCAATTTTACATTAGGAAGCATAAGAGTATCCTTGGCTCCAGTTAGACCTGTTTCAATCAACAAATTTAACACATACTTGCTTTAAGACAAGACAATCCCTCTCCTACTTCAAGAAAGCTCAACTCCCAAAAAATACTTTAAAGAGCCTAAGTCTTTCATGTGAAATTTGGAAGCAAAAAAGATTTTCAAACTGTGAATACCATACTACAAGAAAAAAGGCTTTCCTTGACAAAATTTCTTGATTGTTCTAAAAAAGGGTCAAGAAATTTAATCCTTGACAAATTCTTGACAGTTTATGAACTATCAAGAATTTGAAATTATCCTTGATCGTTTTATAAAATCATTGACAGTTATTAATTATCAAGGATTTTGTAAAAAAAAAATTGTACAAATTTTTTTCTTGACTATTATAGTCTCAATCCTTGACAGTTGTTAACTGTGAAGGATTAACTTAAAAAAAAAAAAAAAAAAAAAAGAAAGAAACAAAACAAAAATTGCACTAAGGCAAAGTTTCCCACCTCAAAATTTTCAGGTCTGTTTGGTAGAATATTTTCTACCCGATTTCCAATCCTATTATCAAAATAACTGTTTGTTTCATTATTTAGGAAATACTATTATATTTTATTCAATTGCTTTTATACCCCTTAAGTTTACTAATTTAATTAATCACCCCCCAAAAAAGTTTAAAAATTAACAAAAATACCCCCACCCACCCACATTTGCCAAATTCCGCCGTCGAAAAGTGGCCGAAATCTAGTATAATGACACACTACCAACTGGATCTTGTCAATAGTACACCGATCTATCATTTTCCAGCCAGATCCACGGCTAAAGATCTAGCTGTTGATGACTAGATCTTTTGCCATAACTGGTCATCAATGACGACGAAGATATGGTCATTGTTGACCATCAACGGCCAGATCTAGTTGTAGATCTAACCTTTTGTGATTAGATCCACAGTGGATCTAATTAGAAAAAGCCATCTCAGCACATGATTGGTCAGATCCAATCGATTGTGTGCTGATACAGTGACTCTAGCCACCCTCTAGCGGTGATGACCAACTGTCAGAATTTAATGGGTGAGTGAAGGTGTTTTTATAATTTTAATATTTTATTATTGGGGTATTCGGTTATTTAACAATAATGAGAAATATTTTTATTAATTTTTAAATCTTATCTTGTTATTCCCATCAAACTTTAAAAATATTAAAAATCTTATCCAAAATAATAAAACAAACAGAGTTCAACTTTTCATTAAGGCAAATTGTCCTACCCTTTTTCCGTTGAATCAAAGCTGGTGTAGGGTTATAAAATATTAAAATAAAAATTCATGCGCCCAAAAACCCATTTCTTCCGCACAAAAACTAGAAAATTTTCCCTCTCTTCCGCCCAAAATCTCTCTTTCTCGCTCTTCCACTGATCAAAATCCCACTCATCAATTGATCTTTTATTAAACGCACGCTTGATTCATCCAATCACGTGATCGAAATAATAGCCAGATGAAGAAACCTTACGCTGGTTGTGAACTTGATCTTGAGTATCGACATCCACGGCGTCGTTTTCTTGTCCTTCATTGACGTTTTCGAGTTCGTCGATCTTGTCCTCGATGGAGGAACTGAAGCCCTCAGAATCGGAGTCACCGTCATTTAGCAGAGGGTTGGGGCGGTCAAGGAGGTGTTGCGGTTGATAGAGATGCGCGTGGAGGGGAGAGACTGAGAGAAGGAGGAGGAGCGCGGCGATAACGGCACACACTTGTGACGGGGCCGGCGACGAGATCTGAGACTTCGTAGCATTTCCGCAGTTAAAGATACCGGAAGATGGTGACAGTGACGGACATGATTGATGGTGTTATTTTGCTAAGAGAGAAGGTGAGCTGAGATTTGGAGCTCGTTGTTTATCTTGTGTACTGGCAGTTTGTGCCTGCTGCTTCGTGAAGCCTAGACAAGAAATAGCTGCTAAATCTACTACTCAAATAGTTCATGAACAGCATGGAAAGTGAGTATTTTTCCTTTTTGTTTAATGGAACCCAAATGTTGTGTATTTTGTTGGGTTTCGGCATAGGTAATTAAATGTTGATGTTTTATTTGCTAAATCTCAGTATAGCTCCCGCTGCCCGAATGACTATGACCAGAATAGTTCATCCTCTTTTTCCTTGAATCTACCAAGGCAATTAGACGATAAAAGTTCGTGTTACAAGCAAAGGGAACATGCGTACTTACAAGAATGCAAGAGGAGAAGGGCGTGTCTTCAATGTGGAGTTAACAGATCAAGATGTAAGTCAAAAAAGTTAATCTGCGTACACAATTTTTCCTTTAGGGTCACGTATATGTGAAATTATAATAATGTTAGGGGTGTTTCTCGTAGGCAGGAGATGTATGGGTTGCCTATTTGTAGTCGTAATATAAGGATTGGTGGGGCTGATGGGTTTGGTGATTGTGTTGGGATGGTTAATAGCTGCTGGGAGTTACCAAATATTGTGTTATCTAGTGCAATTGCAGTCAGAATCTGTATATGTAAAGGGCAGTATAGTGGTCTGCTTGATACTTTTTTCTTTTGTATTCTAGATGGTTATTTTGGTGATTATGTAGACCTGAAATTTACTGGGGTTTTGTTGCACTGGTTAGAATGGACAGCAGTTGTATGTGGCTGTTTATATTTTGATTTTTGCTGTCATTGTATAGGGCTGGGAGTGCAACAGAATGGATCATTGCTTATATGTTTTTCCCCTGCTTTTGCTTGTGATAATAGTGCTAAAAGCTTATATAGCGGGAATTTATTTTTTGTCTTGAGATTGCTGGGTTTTATCGAATATTTTTGTAGTGCTGAGTTCAGGGGGCAGATGCTTTTTGCTGCTTTTGTGGATACTGCTGTCCGTGTAAAGGGTCTGCTGCTTTTTTTTTTTTTTAAAGCAATCTAGAGTGCTTTTTGCTTTGCTGCTGGGCACCAGGTTTGGATGTCTTTCTTTGTGACCCTTTTTTGGTTGTTCTGTAGCTCTTTGGCTTGTCAAGGGGTTGGCGATATGTTGTATTTTTTTTTTATTCTTTAATTAAACTATTATCTTTTAACATGTTAGTGATGAATGGTTAAAATTGATTTGTTTGGTGCAGGGCACACAATTACAAGCAACAATGTTCAATGAAGCTGCAAGGAAATTCTATGACAGGTTCCAATTGGGAAAGGTGTATTACATATCTCGGGGAACACTTAGGGTTGGTAACAAGCAATTCAAGACTGTGCAAAATGATTATTAAATGAGCTTGAGCAAAATGGTTTTGGCTGCACTTTCGGGGTTGTCTGCGTTCTTTGGCCTTGGAAGGTATAAAGTTCTTGAGCTAGTTTGTGTTTGTTTAATGTTTGTGTAATTGTGTTGTCACAAAATATGCATTTAAGTGTTTGTTATTATTCTGGTCTTGGAAGTGTATTAGCTTAGTTTGGTGTCATTTTGATGTTGGTGGTTTATGGAGTCTACAACAATTTATTGCACATTGTGTTATTATTTGGAAAAGCAGATTATTTAATTTTATTTGTTCTGGTGCTACTTTACCAAATGTACTTATAAAGTCCAATTATATTATGTTGGGTATAATATTAGACCGTGTTCCGTTGAGGTGTTGTGAATGCTATTTCTTTTTTGGGTTTTAGTTGGCTGAAGTTGAGGGATAACCGAATGAGAATATGTGGACTAATAAAATACGCCCAAGCTCTTTGAATTCCAAACCATATTACCTGTTTCAGCGTAAAAAATATTAACTGAAACATCATATGGTACTTTATCCATCTCTTCAAATAGTTTTATTTGTTCTAATTGGCCATTTGATATTATTTTGATTCAGGTGCGGGAATTGGCAGAAAAAGAGCCTGATAATGGTGTCTTTAAAATGCTTCGCTGTGATGTTACTCGGTTTTTAACTACTATTCTCATTGGCACAACGTATTACCCTCCCCCTTAATGTTAGTGTAACTAATTCTTTTCTTTTCATATTGAGTTTGAAAATTAATTCTTTTATAGATTCTATTTACCTATTCAGTGTGGCAAATATTGGAACCACTGCATTGGTCACAGAGGTAACAACAACTTTATTTGGTGAGGCTAGTGTCAGTGCAGCAATAGGAGTAATGACTGTAAGTATAAAACTTTCTCTCTCTTTTATGGACAGCAATATTATGAACTCATATTGAAATACCAGGCAGTGGTTATAGTCGACATCTAAGTTAGGGGTGCACAGGATAAAGGCTGCCCTTAATATTTATTCAATTTATAGTTTTATTGGTTTGTTTTAGGCTGATTAAATTATTCTATTGTTTCTTTGTGGTTGTTGTGTTGGGTACGCAAGGAATTAGGAATTAAAAACTGCATAATGATAACCGAAGAAAGGGTTGAAAAAATTCAACTTCTTTCTGAAGAAGCAATACACAAACACAGACAAAACAACTATAAATTTTTACACATAGGATTAGTACAAGTAGCAGTAAAACCATTATTTAGATTAGGACAAAACATTCCAATATTAGTAATGTTAAGAGACGCAAGAAATTTAAACTTCAATAACTCTTTATTAGTAGTATCAAATTCTAATTTAGAAAGTGGCCCAGTATATTTTGATTGTTATCCAAACTTTACAGTAGGATTACATAATCCAACAATATTGTCTACATTAACTATTAATTTAAAAGCTTCTAATTTTACCTATCAAGATAAAGCCCAACCAGTAGCATTAATATATAGGATTTATTACAAAGTTATAAATATAACAATTAGTCCAAGAGCCATTAGGATGTCCCCGCCAGGACACACAGTTATTATGGAAGCCGATAGAATAAAAGATAAAACTTTTACACCAAAAAAAGTAGCTTGGGATGAAATTATTAAACAAACAGATTGGAAATTAGAAAAATTATGTCCTCCAAAACCTTTACATGATCAAAATGAATCTGAAATACAACAAATAATACAAGAACTAGATGATACAATAAGATTAAAATTTACAGAATCTCCCTTACAACAAAATCAACCCATAATTACTAATAAAAATCATCACAACCCTAGAATTGAAGAAATCACTACGCCTAGGCCTTCGTTAGCAACTTCATCAAGTAAATTAGTAGGAGTAAATTATTCCCCTCTTGTATCAAAACCTGCACATGAAAAAACATCAAATTCACCTAGTTCACCAAGACAATCAGAAGTATTAGGGAATTATAGTCAAATCAACACAATAACAAAACCTTTTGAAATTAACAAAGAATTATTAAAACAAGAATTCCTACAAAACTATAATAAAAAAAAAAAAAAAAAATAAAAAATTTCTTCACAACATTTAAACCAGAAGAACAAAATACCCTTAGATTTGAATCGTACAATACACAAGAAAAATTAAAACAAAATATTTATTTCTTTAATTTGTTAGAAAATAGAAAATATTATCAAAATTTAAGTGAAAATAAAACTATTTTTGTAACTACTAATAGAACAAAAAATTGGCAAACATCAACAAATAAAACTATTACATCTGTACATCCACCTTTAGAATAAATTAAAATAGAATATCAACAAGTAGAAATAATAGCATGATTTTACAAAGGACACTATAATAATCAAGATATATACATACAAAATTGTATATATTTATATACACGATTTAAAATATATATATTTGACTTGTATTAATTTATTGTTCTTATCCTATAGAAGAATTAAATCAAAATTTCCAAAACTTATCTATTAATAAAATGAGAATTAATATGAAGTATCCTAAAACTCGAAATTATTACTCAAGACCTTCCTTTCGAGATATACAATTTGAAGATGCTACACAAATGTCAAGATCTATCTATAATGGAACAGGAATAGATGAATGGAATATAGACGGATTAGTCGAACATCAAATATTAAGTGTTTTACAAGAAATGACAATGTCAGCACTAGCCCCATAAAGTCCACGAAAATACTGATCATCAAATAGCAAAAATATTAGTTTTAGGATTCACAAGAATGCTAAAAAATTGGTGGGATAAAATCTTAGGCTCCGTTTGGTTCATTATTGGATAGTTTTTAGAATAATCTTTTGAAAAAAGTTAAATTAGACGGGTATTACGATGTAGAATTTGAAAATTAACAAAAATACCCCTTATATTTGTTTATTTACTAAATACCCTAAACACGCCTTTATTCCCAAAAATATGTTAAACCATTCTTTGAATCATTTGACATTCCAAAAGAAGAAATTATTAAATTTAATAATCACAACACTATTTTAGAAAATATTAGTAAAAAACTTAGTGAATTATCATCCTTTAAATCAAACATTAATGTTCTTACAGAATCCAACCCAATAGAAGAATTAAATCAAAATTTTCAAAACTTATCTATTAATAAAATGAGAAATAATATAAAATACCTTAAAACTTGAAACTATTAACCAAGACCTTCTTTACCAGATATGCAGTTTGAAGATGTAACACAAATAGCAAGATCTTTCTATATTGGAACAGGAATAGATGCATGGAATATAAACGGATTAGTTGAACATCAAATATTAAATATTTTACAAGAAATGACTATGTTAGCATTAGCTCATAAATCACATGACAACACTGATCATCAAATAGCAAAAATATTAGTCTCAAGATTTACAGGAATGTTAAAAAATTGGTGGGATAATGATTTACAAGAATCACATAAATATCACATATTATACGCAACAAAAAAGACTAAGAAAGTCAAAATAGAAGGTATTAGTCAAATAGAATATGAACATGAGGAAGAAGACGTAGCCACATTAATTTATGCAATAACCAAAAACTTTGTAGGAGATCCAACAAGGTTTCAGAAAAAATCACAAGAAATATTATCAAACTTAAGATGTCCAACCATGACAGATTTTAGATGGTATAAGGATATGTTTTTACAAAAAGTATTCACAAGAACAGACTGTAGGAAACCCTATTGGAAAGAAAGGTTCTTAGATGGTCTACCTAGATTATTTAGTCAAACTGTCTAGAATGCATTATACAAAAAATATGATGGAAATATACTGTATGAAGAATTAACATATGGAAATTTAATTAGTTTTATTAACAACGAAGCTTTAATAATTTGCACTTATTTAAAATTAAAAGCTAAATTAAAAAAATGAATTAAAACATAAGAAAACGGAATTAAGTAAATTTTGTAGTCAATACGGTTATGAAAAAATATTACCTCCCTTTGTTAGGTACAAAAAAGATAAAAAACAAAAACAATATAAAAAATCTTATTATAAAAAAGATTATAAATATGGACAAAAATCTTATGATAAACCTTATAAAAAGAAAAAATCCTCTAATAAGAAAATATCCAAAAAAACCTATCGCATGTTGGAAATGTAAACAACAAGGTCATTATGCAATTAAGTGTTCTATGAAAAATCAAATAAAAAAATTAGAAATAGATTCAGAACTAAAACAACAATTATTAAAAATTATTCAAACAGACTCTGAAGAAGAATCTAGTTATAATACAGATAATGAAGACATGATTTATCAAATTCAAGAAAATTCTTTTGAATCAATGAGTGAGTCATCGCAAGATTCGGATGATTGTGATTGCAAGGGGCCATGCTACTGTGCAATAAAATCAATAAATTTGATATAAACATCTAGACCTAAGTCAATAAATGTTATCATCAAATCAAAAGAATTTTTATTAGATATTATTGATAAAATTCAGGATGAAGACATTAAAGGAGAATATTTATTAAAACTTAAAAGAATTAATTTTATCAGAAGAAAAACAAAAAGATGTAGATTCTTATAACTTAAAAGACATATTAAAAAGATTTGACAAACTCACACAAGTTACTTTAAGTGATGTAAGAAGAAATCAATATTATGAAAAATCAAGTTAAAGAATTACAAAACGATAATATTGAAATTAAGACAGATTTATTATGTTTAAAAGCCTCAAAAGAAACTATAGGACAATCATCAACCTCAAAATCCGATTTACTGATTAAAGAAACTGAAGAAACATTTATTAATGAAATCTCTAGAATTCAATTTCAAAAATGGCATGTTTACATTAAGATCAATATTGATTATGAATTAGATATTATTACACAAGCCTTAATAGACACTAGAGCAGATCAAAATTGTATAAGAGAATGATTAATTTTAACAAAATATTATGAAAAAACAAAAGAAAGATTATATAGAGTAAATGGTTAACAATTAAATATTAATTATAAATTATTTAATGCACATGTATGTATACAAAATTTTTGTATTAAAAGTACCTTTATTCTAGCAAAAGACTTAGATCAAGATGTTATATTAGGTGCTTCTTTTATCACTTAAATTTACTTTTTTAGTGTAACCAATAAAGGGATTACAACCAATATTTTAGGACAAGATATTACATTTGAATTCGTTAATCCACCATCAATAAAAGATATTAGTAATTTAAAACATATTTCAATATCTAAGATAAACACGATTACCAAATTAGAGAGTCTAGAAAACGTCCCTACAAAAGAATGGCTCGATTATCACAAAATTTGGGATGCTTGCATTACAAAAATGTGTTTCCAACTTTTTGCAATAAGATTTAAAAAGTTTCAAAATTTTGTTTTTAATAAAAGGCAAAAGTCAAAATGTTTTTCTAATAGTCTCTCTCATCACAACAACTTTCAGGACGCAGATTTATTGAGAGAAAGTGAGGAAAAGATGGGCACTCCCATCAAACCTAAAAACAATCCAAAATCAAAAGCATCGTATGCGATGCTACTACCTCAACAACCTATTACCCCAAAAATAAAACTTTCACAATCAAAACCCAATAAACAGAAAAAACATTATCACCCAACCAAACAGGTTCACTCTTCTTGATGAAGAATCTGTTTCTTCATCTCCACCAAGAAATTACTAACAAGCTCTTACAATACCACCATCTTATACACCTTCCACATCAAAACCTGTCAACATCAATCCCACATTTCAATACATTGAGAAAGATATAACTCAATCAATTTGTGTTATTGAACCCGAATATTGGGAACAAACTATGCAAGAAACTTTACCAAAAAATTTCCTTCCAGATTTTTATTTTATTTCTGATAATTTATTAAAAACAAGAGCATTTGATG